CAATATGGTTCATGGGGTCACGAAGAGTCGGACACGACTTAATGACTGAACAACAACAACAACACATAAATGGTCTATTGCAGAACATTTCTGAAAGCTGTGTGTTGATGGCAATGGCTGGGTTTCTGAAAGAAACAAAAAGATATCTAAGGAGAAAGTTCATGGAAATTAGGTTTGAAAACATATTTTTCAAGTGAACAATGAACCACTGATTATGTGAAGAACAGGTTCCTCTGCTGCATTCATTCAAAATATGCACTCTCCCAAGGACAAAGTAGCATTCTGAATTACAAATTTAGGTTCTTTTGGGCATAGATGTTAATACCAATACCTTCTTAGGAACTCAATCCTGCCAGTGATTTCCCATGATTTGAGACACTGACCATGGTGTAATACAATTTGGTGAACAAAAGACTCCATTCCTTTTGTTGTTTCCCACTATTCATTTCTACATTATGACAGTAATTGAAGACTGTTGTTAAATGTTACTAATTTTAATTTTTTTTTTGTACATTGCATCATATTGGTAATGAATATGCTGAACATATTCTATGCCCTCTGCAGTTATACTCAGCTGAGTGTGCCCATGTATCTGTGTTCATATACTTCCTAGTGAAGTTCTGATAAAATAGGTTTTAGGTTTCTTATTCCTAAAATATATCAAGTGATGAGCACATCACGGACACATGCCTATGAGATGACATTTTCCTGTTAGTTTATCTCTGGAGGAAAAACTAAGGCAAGGCTGATTGTAGAAAAGTTTTGGCCCACCAGGAAAAGGAGGAAGAGGGGAAGTTGACTGTCCATATATATCATATTAGAAAATCAAACACAAGCAAAGAACTACAACAACAGCACTATAATCTCAATTACATTTTTGTGTATGTGTGTGTGTTTTGTGTATGTGTAAAAGCAAGCTGATAATTGCTTTTTTAAGACTTCAGAATACTGAAAGGGTTTGATATGAGCAGAACAACAGAAAAAGTTTGGAACAATGATATAAATATTGGGAATGTTTTCAAAATCTTATTACAATAACCTTTTTTCCTCAAGTTGAGTTCATTGGGAAGCTATTCAGCAACAATTATTCAAGAAAAATAACATGTGGGCTCTTTATTTATCCAGTACCACAGGAAGCACCTAATCACTTACACTTAATTCACGCCAATTAATACATTTCATTGCTGAGATCTGGAATTAATTTATCTCCTTCTCTAGCACAGATGTTCTCCCTCCCACCAGTAATTGGGATGTTAAGCTCTTCACTGCCAGCGTGCACATCTCCAGCAACAGCTGCTGCTTTGATTGTTACGGCAACACTGAAAACATAGTGCATCCTGACTACAAAAGTACATAGGGATTGCCTCACTGATAAGGTTAGTGTAGATGGGATGGCTAAACTGAGAAAACGTTTGGTTTATGTATCCACAGCTGGAATGTGGAAAATCATAACAGAACTTGGAAAGATATTCATTTCAATAAGGCTTTTTATCAAACAATAATACCAGACTGGTACTGGAATAGGGCAGAAAGTATGAATAGCCATCCTCTATTGGAGGATGCATGGAGAATACATTCATGCAAATTTCACAAAAGTTTTAATTACAGCAATTGGGTGGCCAATACAGCTAACCTCCAACTGTATCCTTGCCTTTTGATATTAAGAAAGACCCTGTATCCTTTCACTATGGGGAATCCTCTGGTGTGCATGCCGATATTACTCTGACTTTATCATATTCACCAGACAGTTAGTAGAACAAATGCTATCCTTTCTTTATCTTAATATGATACATACCATATCATTCCACATTTCTAGGATGCACAGTAAATTATGTAGAGGATTTATTGAAACATGACAAAAGGTTTCACCCACCATGATCCATCCTGATCTGGATATATTAATCTGCTGGAACTGCTCTTTTAATGGTCATTTAATGTAACACTGTGCAGTTTTGCTTCTATCCCTTAGAAGAGCTGGAGTATATGGATGAAGCTGATCGCCTGGCTTACTGCCTGAATCGCTGGTACTCAACTTTGAAAACATGGCTACATCTGTTACCTGCACTGTCCTCAACCTCCATAGAAGAGAATAGTATGAGCAGGTTATCTGTGACACCAAATAGAAAATTTCCTTAGGAAAAGAAGGTTGGTTTGTTTCATTTACTTGCACATCACACTGGCCAAAACAAAAACTGAATTAAGAAAAGGTCACAGTGGGCAAGTTTAGTGTTGGCTCTCAGATGGAGATGTGTAATGGACATTGACAAATAATCTCAGATATTACAGAGTGAAAGGATGTTTACTCAGTAGAGGGTTCGTCAACCTCAGCAAGTTTAAGATGGGTGGACTTCAACTCCCAGAATTCCCTAGCCAGCCATGC